GAAAGTTGAAGTCCAGACAAGTCTCACAGCTTGTGTGGGCTCACACAGCATTTGGTGGCTGATTTTGGGAACAGAATGCATGTCTCCTATTTCTTGGAAGAGTGCTGAAGCCACAGGCCAGGCTGCTTCTGAAAGGACGACAGGACCCGAGCTGACAGTTCACCGGAGAAGTTCCGCTTTATTCGGGGGAGAAGCATACATTTATATAGAGCTGGGTTCCGGGAGAGGGTGGTTAGTACACGGGGCGGTAGTTGATTGGCCGGGGGCAGGTAATGATTTCTGATAGGCTGCACCTTGGCGCCGGCGAGATTGTTAGGACCCGGAAGAGAAAAGCGCCATGTTTTAGGGAGTGCCTCCTTTGGGGTCTTCTATGGGGCCTTACACTGGTAACTTTCAGTGAAAGGAGCCAGATGACATTCTAGTAAGGCAATTAACAAAACCTTGATCTTAGCAAACATTCCTTCCTACAGCAATCTCTCAGTATCTTTACATAACAATCAGTAACTAGTCTGTCTTTGAGCCAGCAACCTGCTGTGCCACAATCCTTATCTTGCAACAGAGACTTATAGCCTGAGGGAAATTTCCAGTCCTCCGCAAGGTCAATATTTGAAACTGCAAGGCTTTGGAAAACCAGGCCCTGTGAAGTACATATGCTTTATAGTATATTCCACATTGTTTATCTTTGATACTACTTAAACCACAGATTTCTGGCCCCACACGCAGTTTCTGATCCTGGAGGACTGGAGTGAGGCCTGAGAATTTATATTTCTACCAGTTTGTGGGTGATGCTGATGTGCTGGTCCAGGGACATACTTTTGAGAATCACTGCTCTGGCTGATCAGTTATGGTCCTTATTCACCAGATTTGATTTTCTAGTGATACGATTTCCTTGAAACCTTATTTGTACCAGCCAGCCACACAAAAAATGGGAAAAAAAATCTTTTTTTTTTTTTTTTTTACTGCCTGTTGGTTTCATTTGATGGGACTGAGAATGGTAATAACAAGTGCCAAGAATCTCATCAAGTTAGGCTCTTTGACTGCTCAGATCTGCTAAAGGGAATATCCTGGATCATCCTGTTGCAGCTTCTATTTCTTAGCACTTTACCTAAGGACTTGGCTCATGCTCCCTGGCGTTCTGCTCTAGGTCTCTAGTTCAGAGCTCTGATAGGAAATAATAGGCTGTGAAACCTGTGTTCTTCTTCTTTTTTTTTTTTTAAAAGATGACCGGTAAGGGGATCTTAACCCTTGACTTGGTGTTGTCAGCACCACGCTCACCCAGTGAGCTAGCTGGCCATCCCTATATGGGATCTGAACCCGTGGCCTTGGTGTTATCAGCACCACACTCTCCCGAGTGAGCCACAGGCCGGCCCGAAACCTGTCTTTTCTGACCTGCCCTGGGAATGTTATACCTTCTCTTTTGCATTCCAGTTAAGTGCATTTACAGAAAGAGACATTATCACATTTGGGGCAGCTGGAGAGCAAGGAGTACTTAGGAGGCGTATACAGATAACCTCATTCCAATTGCCTAGATGCCAGTTTCCTAATTTGGAAGTGAAACTGAGTTCTGCTATAAGTCAGTAAGGCCTACGAATATCTGACTCTCAGCAATCAATTGCAGATCTCTTGGTATAAGCAGATGGGCTGCTCTGTTTTGAGTCCCAAGAGAGATAAGCAACTGCTTCACTGCCAAATAACTCAGAATGCAAACTTCCTTTCCATCAGCTGATGCAGGAGATCGCTGATCTCTGCCAGTTCCACATTTTAGGGTCTGTAATTTGCCACACCCCATTTCTGGTACGAGATTTTTTTTTTTTTAATCCTATATAAAGATGACCGGTAAGGGGATCTCAACCCTTGGCTTGGTGTTGTCAGCACCACGCTCGTAATAACTTCGTATAGCATACATTATACGAAGTTATACGAGATAGTATGCATAACAAGAAAGGAAAAATAGAATGCAAAGATATCAGCATATGAAGTCTTTGTGTGGAACAAAAGTAGGGATTTCAGCGCAGTTCAAATGGTAAGTTATGTTGAGAGACAGGCTAGAGGTGAGTTACGAGTTTTTGAATTGGTTAACATCCTTGTGGTCATAAGTAGTTTCTAACCCAACTCCATCTTAAACAAAAGTAGTAATAGTAACGACATGGAGTTGTCTTAGAGAAATCAAGGACGCAAACGCCTCAAGAATGATCCAGACATGGTGCTGGCAACACCGAGGTCAAAAGTCTCTTACCAGCCAGCGGCCAAAAAAAAGAATGATCTGGAACTTGAACACAGTGAAGACTATCTATCTCTCATCTCTAGTCTTCTGTGAGAGTCTGCATTTTTCTTTTCTTTCTGCAGAGCAGCATCTTTACTTTTGTCCCTCTGGTGGGAAAATTAACTGCTGGCAGGTTCCAAGCTTTACACTTAGACAAAAGCTGATTTCTTTGGTCCAATTCCAAATTTCTAAAGAATCAGATTCTGATCGACCCAGGTTGGATTAGGCATCTATCTCTGACCCAATCAGCTATGGTTATAGGAACATGACAGTTTTTGCTGTAACCCTCTAAATGGGGGAAGGGGAGGATCAGTTCCTAGAAAAGTGGGTCTGGGCAGATAATCCAATAGGTACCCATTATACTAGTAAACCTCTATTCCTTCCATCCTTCATGACTTCAAGCCACTGCCCTCTCCCTTCACTGCTTGTTTTCGAGTTACCTATGTGCACCGCCTCACCATCTAATTCTCTGCAAATCTGGCTTGTTCGATCTCCATTCTTTTATGATAAATTCCTTTACAAAGCTTGAAGCTTTTTTTGCTTTTGCATCCTAATAAAGCATTCTCAGACCTAATTCATCTTCATCACTCTTGGGTTCTGCACTTTTGCATTCTTAATTTGCCTGCCATTATCTCCCACTTTCCAGTAAGTTTCAAGCCAGATCTGACTACTACTCACTTCAGATCTCGTTTTCTGCTCTATTCCTGCTGAAAGAGAAGGCCCTAAAAGCCATACATAAGACAGGTGCTACATCTGTTTCACCTGAGGAGCATGTAGAAAATAGATTTTTCAAAAGATTATGACTCTGCCCTAGATGATGGGGGGGGGTGGGGAAGGGAGATTATGCCTTTGTATGTCTGAAATTAGAGCAAATAAATAATGTAAGTTTCACTATTTCTAATTGGAGCCAACAACTATTCTTCAAAGAATTACAGTAGGTAAAAGTAAGTAGATTGCTACAGAAATGTCAGCGGTTATTATTTTTATGTTTCATATGTGTTCTTTCTCAGTCATTAAAGGCTATGCATATTTTTTCCAGAGAGAGGAAAATTCACCCTCCCTGGACTTTTAGCTCACTTTCGCTGAATTCCATTAATCCACTCTACTTTCCTTCCCATCATGCATCACTCATTCCCCCAAAACTCTCTTTCCTGGGAAAGGCAGTAATTACCCTGAAGCAACTCGGTGGGATGCAAGGAGTTGGGAGTGCAAATACTAAACACAGATTACCATGCCCCGCCTCTTGTGACCCTGTGAACGCAAGGGGTGGTTCCTCGACTGTATCCCGAGGCCACAGAGGAGACGACTACAACTCCCAGGATGCCCCTCCGCCCCGCTCCCCCTTCTCCAGCTGGAAAGCGTGTACCATAGAGAAGACGAGGCAACATGGCTCCCGGAGGTGGAAAGAAGAGGCTTCACCCCCTTTGAAACGGTGAAGAAGAGCAGCCCGAAAGGAGAAAAAAAGAGAGATGACTAGAGCCCGTCATCGCTTTTCTCCTCCCAGCCTCTCCTGAGTCCCGTCGGCCTCACTCCTCTCCTCCACCCAAATCCAATCTGTCTCCTCCCCTCCCCTCCCTAATTCCCTCGCTCCCTCACCCCTCCCCTCGGAAATCTTTTTCCCGCCCCCCTCGCCCCCCGCGGAGTGCGCACGCGCCCGCCCCCAGCTTCGCGCCCAGATCGCCGCCTAAGCTGCCCGCGCAGCAGCTGTGTCGTCTGCCCACCGACGAAGCATGGGTGTCCAGGGCTTCCAAGAGTTCCTGGAGAAGCGCTGTCCCGGGGCCGTGGTGCCCGTGGACCTCCTCAAACTCGCGCGTACGGTCTCGCGCCAGCAGCAGCAGCACCTGCACCGCCAGCTGCCACCGACGGCAGCCCTAGCACCCGGGGCTCCACGCGCCGCCAGGGGCTCCGCGCCTCTACAACCGCCGCTCCCGCCCGCTGCCTTGGGTGCCTACTCCGGGGCCGCGGGGCCGACTCGGCACCACCACCCCGCTCACCATTTCCACCACCATGGCCAGGCGCAGCCCGCGCTACACCCGCCG